TTCCCCCCATTTTTGGCTGAGGCTGGGTTTGAACCCACCACCTCTGCAATATGGGACTGGCGCCCTACCCTTTTGAGCCACAGGCACTGCCCCAGAGATAGGTTTTTGAAAGAGGATTAAGATTCAGAGGATGTAGAAATTTAGGGGCAGGGTATGCTTTATCCCAAGCCCCACAAGGGAGAGGGACTAGAACTGGGGTGGATGTGTGGAGATAACTGAGTTCTTGATTCTGAGGATCTCCAGCTGGCTGGAATTTTGAACAGGGCAAGGAGTTTCACATTCCTGCTCAGAGAGTCCCCCTGATGGCAAGAGGATGACATGACAGAACTGAACAAAGCAAGGAGATTCTCACACATCCACTCCTGTCCTCAGCATATTTCGTGACCTCCCTGCTAGGGTGGATGAGCACCTGCTCATCAAGAGTTGTGGTTAGTTGCCTGAAATCACAATGATAGAAATCTGCTGGGGCAAGCAGGAGGCTGTGGGGGATCATGGGAAGGGCCTACTCAACCCTAAACCAGGATGTGTGCAGGCTAACCCTAGCTTTCCACCTCATGCTGCTGCGACCCCTTTGAGCCAATTCCCTTCACTGTTTCTTCTTCACCCATGACTGTGCCCCAGCTCCCACCCAGAAGCGAGGATACGCCTAACACAAAACCTCCTTTGATCTTTGGGGATGCTTTAGGAAAACAGCTGTTGAGTGTTCAGTAGGCCCACACCTTGTGTCTCCCTGCCTTGGGAGCTATTTAGGGAGTGCCCTGACTTTTAGGCACAGAATCACAATTCAGATGAAAGATGCATCTATTCTTCTTCCCATCCAAGCTTTATGCATTTTCTTAACAGTGGAAATACTGTGCTAAATGCTGAAGTCCAATCAGAGGAAGTGAGCCCTGCCACCACTTCCTGCTGGCTTGGTGGGATGGTGAGTGATCCTGGATTTCCTTAGGAACCAGGGTCATCCCACTATCCCTCGTACACATAAAGAAGCCCAGCACTTCCCGCCCTTCCTCGTGCTCTTGGGTCCTCTGTGGTAGGTCAGGAGGGAAATGCAGAGGGATATCAGTGGCCAAAACAGAGGCCTGTCCCATCTACTCTGGGCAGCCTCTTTGTCATCCTGCTTCCCAGTCTTCTCCTTCCACCTCCAGACCTTCCCCGGTCCCTCACCTGTGCCATAGGATGCCACCTTTGCCAACCCCATGCTCTGCTCAGGCTCTGAACACTTAGAACTTTGTCTGCAATCTCTCCTGCTGCTCCAGTGTTCCAAGAGCTTCACACACATCACCAGCAACTTCAATCATCTTTTCCTCTCCGTGTTTTCCTTAGGCTCTAATAGAAACTTTCCATGGTAACTTCCAGAGTCCCTCTTTACCTCTGGTTTCCAGCTTTGACCCTCTAGTCACCTGTCCCCTGCAGACATGGTCCCTTTCCATCTCCTTACTCATCCCTTTGAGTCAGTGGTTCTCAACCTTTCCTCGTGTTGTGACCCCAACCATAAAATTATTTTCGTTGCTACTTCGTAACTGTAATCTTGCTACTGTAATGAAACATAATGTAAATATCTGATATTAGGTGACTCCTGTGAAAGGGTTGTTTGACCCCCAAAGGGGTCGCAACCCTCAGGTTGAGAACCACTGCTTTGAGTCCTTGCCCACAGTCTCTCATAGGAGAGGAAAATCTTTCTTTCTCTATCACAAAATAGGAGATATCTTTATCTGGGTGTCTGTCTCCCTGCAGCCTGGGCCCTTCTTTCAACTCCAGGCTCAAATGCCCAAATTATCTAATCAATATATATACTTGGGTGTCCAATATTCATCTCAAACTGTACAAACATGAACTCCTGATTCACCTCCATCACCACTGGGTAACATATACTAAACTTACTCCAATCTCAGTATTTCCCACATCAATTACAGTAGAACCTCTGTAAGTAGACCACCCATGGGACTGTAACAAACTGATCAACATACGGAGGCGGTCAACTGTGCTGATGTATGTGGTGCATGTCTGTCTATGAAAATCAGGTCAACTTAGGGAGGTGGTCAAGGTAAGGAGGGAGTCAACTATGGAGATTCCACTGTATTGGCAACTCCATCTTGCCAGTTGTTTAGGGCAAAAACATTGGCATCATCCTTGATTTTTTTCCTCTAATCGTCCACATTCAATTTATTGGTGAATCCCATGTCTTTACCTTCAAAACGAACCCAGCATCTAAATTACTCTCTGCGGTTTTCATTACTGGAATAACCTCATAACTAATCTTCCCATTTCTCCCTAAGTCTATACCTTCAACACTGTTATCAGCACCACAATCTAAGTGATTATTTTAAAACGTAAGTCAAATTTAAGTTGACCCTCTAATTTATTTTACATTTACTCAAGAGTAAGAGCCAATGCCCTTGCAGTGACCTGCCAGGCCTTTTACCTTACTGCTTGGACATTGTCTGCCACCACTTTCTCCCTCAATTACTCTGCTTTTCGCTCGCTGACCTTGTTCCTTCTCATAGGCTAGGCATGCTCCAGCCTCCACATGTCCCATTAGCTGCCATTTCTGACTGGAACACTCTTCCTCAGTTATCCGTGTGGTGTACTCTCTCATCACCCTCTAGTTCTCATTGCATGTTAATTTCTTAGTGAAACCAGCCCCTAACTCGCTATTTAAAACTGTACCCCATTCAAGTCTTCTCTAATCCTCTTACCCTGATTTTTTACATATATCTGGTCACCTTCTACATACTATATTTTTTCACTTATGCATCTTTTGTCTACCTCTCAAATACACTCCCAATGTAAGATCCATGAGGGCAGATTTTTTTCCCCGTGTTCACTGCTATATTCCCAGTGTCTATAAAAGTGCCTGGCATATAGTAGGTGCTCTATTTGTTGAAGGAACAAAAGAATGGAAGGATGAATGCCATCTATTCTCCAGCTTGGTAACCTTATATTGATCTCAAACATTTTAATGTCCTTTTTATATTATTATTATACAGGGACTTTTCAAGGGAGTCACCATTCTCTGACATGACATCTAATTTGTTTGACACTATGTTCTTGCTCATATTATCCTCAATGGGGAGAAGCCTCTCTATTCCTTACCTCCTGTGGCTAACTCATGCTCATCCATTAACATAACCCTACATCTTACCTCTTTACCTCTTCCAGGAAACTTTCCAGAAATACTCCCTAAAACTACTTTTAGTTCCCTCCTATGTACTTTCACCTATTTCTTCTAAGAAGCTCTTACCATATTGTTTCTAATGACTTTTAATGAGATTGTCTATCCCAGAGTCCATTGACTTCATGAAGGAAGGTTCATGTATTGTTCACTGTGGTTTCCCTAGCATCTGGCATAATGCCTGGCAAAGTGCTCAGCACATAATAAGTACTTAAAATATTTGAATTATTGAATAACAAAGCTATTTTTTTGTGACTATTTTGGGGACCTCATAATCAACTGCTCTTCATTCTAGGTGGCATTGGGTTTTTTTGTTTGTTTTGTTTTGTTTTGTTTTGTTTTTGTTTTTGTTTTGAGACAGAGTCTCACTATATTGCCCTCAGTAGAGTGCCGTAGCATCACAGCTCGCAGCAACCTCCAACTCTTGGGCTTAAGTGACTTTCTTCCCTCAGCCTCCCAAGAAGCTGGAACTACACGCACCTGCCACAGTGCCTGGCTATATTTTTGTTGTAGTAGTCATTATTGTTTAGCAGGCCCAGGCTGGGTTCAAACCCAGCAGCTCAGTGTATGTGGCTGGCACGCTAACTACTGAGCTATGGGCACCAAGCCTGGGTGGTACTCTTCATGCAGCTGAAAGGTAGTGGCAGTCAGAGCAAGCAACAGAGCTAGATCAGACTTACCCTTAAAGATCTCAGTAATATCAGGGAAAAGACAGGAGATTCTATCATTTGGATTTTTTTTCTTCTTTTAGAAACAGGGTCTCACTGTGTTGCCCAGACTGGGATACAGTGGCTACTCACAGGCATGATTCCATTACTGATCAGCATGGGAGTTTTGACCTGCTTCATTTCTGACCTAGGATAGTTCATTTCTCCTCAGGCAACGTGGTAGTCCCCTACCTTGGGAAGTCACCAAACTGCTGCCAAATTTAGTGTAGATACCTGACCATCATAGCATCACGCAGCCCTCAGAAGTCCTGGGCTCAAGCAATCTCTCAGCCTTCACCTCCAAAGTATCTGGGACTTCCATGCCTGACTATCACCCGGCTTTGACATCTGTTACATTAGCTGTGTGCTTTTGACACAAATAAAAAGCATATCCTTAAGCAAGGAGCATTATGCTACTCTAAAAATCTTCCTTCCAGATTTTTGGGCATCTACTATGTAGAAGTTATAAACAAGTTTTGACTGTGGACAAAAAATGCACCGGATTCCTGTCCATTCTTCTTGTATGATCATTTATGCACACATTGTTCTGTGCTCATGCACACTGTGGGAAACCATGATGGTATTTAAGCCTGACCTTTACCTTTAATATACCTTAAACAAGGGCCTTCCTCCTCTGCTCAAGTCCCCTTATCCACAGTCTAGGGTGGGGCTGGGAGGAGCTGTATGGCATACTGACCCTTAAGAAATGAAATGTGAATTTAAACTCTTATACTTTTTAGTCCCTCTATTCTCTCCATCATACCCAGCGTTGAAAATAAAGAGGCACAAACAGGTGGCTCTTGGTTTAGGGGTGTGGAGTATATTTGGAGAATACTCTGCCTCACCTGCATGTTAATGGGAAATGGCGATGACGGCCTTATTCAGGGGGATAAAGATGTTCAGGAACCTGCAAACCCCTTTTGCTTGGACTGAATATTCTCCTTGTATAAACCAGTGACTTTTGTTGAGGTAAGAGCTGAGAGTTGGCATAGATTTCCTAGGTAGATGGTACAAGTCAGTTGAAAACAGAGTTTAGAGCAGTTGTGGGAGTGGCACAGGACCCAGGATTGGCTGGACTGAAGGGGATGTTGTTGGAGCTGTTTGTCTAGGTTCTGTGGGTTTTAATAGAAGATGTGGCTGGGCTTCGGCTTCTTTGTTGTCTTCTCCAAGTTAGCTCCCCCAACAGGGTGTTTGGTGGGGATTGGATACGTCTCGACCTTTCTTGTACTGGCTTTGACCAATAGTGCAGATTTAGAGATGAGAATGGATTCCTCATGACTTTGATCTTTCACTTCAGGGTTAATCCAGTGTAGAAAGAACTTCATCTTATCTCCCAAGCCAACTTCTGGATCTTCTAGAAGGGTGGAGCTCTTGTGAGTATGGGCTGCCCTTATGAAACCCTACAACATTTGGCCCTGAAAAGAATGGCCCTGCCATTTTTTTCCTTATAAAAGATGGCCCTGAAACATTTGAACCTCAGAATTTCAAATCTGAAAAATGTGGCCCCTTCAAATCTTGGACTTGCAAACTTTTGCCCAGCAAACACTAGCTGCCTAAGTTGGCCCTTTAAGGCCTAGGCACCCCCACCTTTTGGCCTTCTCAGGACTCCTCATTTAGGAAGGTCATCTTGCAGACTATTTTTATCTGGTGTTTTTGCCCCAAGCAATCCTGGAGAATTCCCTGGGAATGATGGAGTGGTGGCTTTACAAACCCAGACAGATCTTTGCTTGTCACTACTCAAGGCAACAATCTTGGCTAAAGTTTTACCTGAGAAAGATCCTGGAGTAAAGTTTGGGAATTCATGGTTTGGGACTTCTGTTTAGAAGTAACTGAACTGGCCCCTGAACCTCAACAAAGTAGATATTCTCTCTGGTTGGGAAGAGCCCTAATTCTGCACCCCCTTTTCTTCTATTCCTTAATAAATTTTACCAGATCCTCTAAGTTTTCTCTGCTAGGGTAGGGACTTATTCTCACTCTTGCAAAGGGCCAGGCTAAGGGGTCCAGGGTCCTCCAGGCTAAGTTGTTCACTCTAGCATCCAGCTGAACACAAAACCTCTGTCATGTCCCCATTGGGTTGTGAAATCTCAGAGGCACAGTGGGCAGAACCATGGGCACTGCTCTGGAACTAGGTTGCTTTTAGCTCTGCTCCTCTGCCTTTCATTCAGTTGTAAGCCTTTCTTGTAGGCAGTCTCGTCCTGGATCTGGGGCACATTGAATACCTGGTGGGATAGAGAGTTTCTGGAGCAGTGTTTTTCCCTTGGACTTCTAAAGGATCCCTAGGTGGAGACATTCTTTAGGATGGCCACATGTCATTCTCTGGACTCCTTTGTTTTTCCAAATGTATCTTTGGGAATTTCTTTTTCAAGGAGAAATTTAGTTTTGCCAAGAAATTGAGTTTCAGTATCTTGAGTGATTCAGGGCTGTTGGGATCTGTCTGGTTCTCTAGAGGCACCATCTCCATTCACTTATATTTCCATCTAGAACACTTGTACACTGTCTTCACAACTCTCACTAGCATCTTGAAAGCACGGGCTAGACTTATACATTATTCTTTAGATGAAATTGAGTCAGAGGCTCTGATGGGTCCAATCCATGATTGCAGATTAACTTTTGATTGCCAGGGCCAAAGCACTGGAAAGAGCCATATAATTGAAAACAGGTAACCCAGACAGGAAAGCCCAAACTTTTCTCAAGTTTTTGAATGGCTCCCTGGTACAGGATCATTAGTAACAGTATCTGATAAGCCCTATTGCTGCTGGTCAAGACCCATCAGTAGAGTGTCACTTCCTGATCTATATAGGTACTTACTGCTGCCTTCAGGTTTAGAAGTTTGCTTTATAGAGAATGAGGGGGCCAAGTTGCCACCCAGGCCCCTAGAGCTGCAGACGCAGTGATTTATAGTTCCAAAAACTACAGATGTGGACAGGGACATGCCCTAGCGGTCCCACAGTTGGAGTCTAAGTGACTCTGCAACATTATCTTGGCCTGAGCAAGCAAATGTGGACTGGCCTGCTGCCACAGTGGATCAGGCCAGGTCACTATCCCCACTGGCCTCTGGGGCTGCAGGCTCACAGGAGACTCACACAGGTCAAGACTGCGCTGCTCCAGGGAAGAGATTGCTGATTAGCAGGGCACAGGGACAACTGGATAGAATACTGGATCTTCTGGAACAGGCCCAGTAATGGCAAATCAACCTGGTATTTCAACTGCTTCTGGAGGCAGAACTCAAGCAGCCTCTGGGCATGCTCTAGGGGAATGCTGCCTTCCTTTTGAGGACTAAACTGGACTCTCCCAATCAGAGAAGGTGCTGGGTGTAGTGGAACACCACTGTCACCTATCTCAGGGATCTGCATCTACAAAGATTCTGGATAACATCAGGCAAATTGCACAAAAACAGGGCCTGCCTCTGGAGCAGGAGCAACTCCAATACTTTACACTTGGCCAGAGTCAGAAATGAGACACTGATCTGGGTTGTTTTTTTTTTTTTTTTTTTTTTTGAGACAGAGTCTCATTCTGTGCCCTTAGTAGAGTGCCATGGTGTCTCTCAAACCTCAAACTCTTGGGCTCAAGCGATTCTCTTGTCTCAGCCTCCCAAGTAGCTGGGACTATAGGCACCTGCTACAACACCCAGCTGTTTTTTAGAGATGGGGTCTCACACTTTCTCAGGCTGGTCTCGAACCAGTGAGCTCAGGAAATCCACCTGCCTTGGCCTCCCAGAGTGCTAGGATTACAGGTGTGAGCTACTGCACCTGGCCTGATCTAGATCTGTTGATAGATAGGTTGAGAAGCTCAAATAAGAAGGAAGAAAGTGAGACTAATTGAAATGGAGAAAAATTTAGGCATTACAGAGATGGAGAACTCATCGAAGAGAAAGGGCCTAGGGCTCCCTATTGTGGAGAGTTCCATAAAGTCAGACCAGGGACTCATACTTACCTCCTGAAGAAGCCAGGCCTGGCTGGGAAAGGAAGCATGGCAACCATTAATGATGGAGTGACTTGTACAGAAAAGAGAACCACTGTAAGATAGCTGCAGATAGCACATTGCAGCCTCAGCGTTGTCCCCTAGTGGACAGCAGCCACATTGAGGATGAAAGGGGGAAGAGGTCAAAGCCAAAGCCATTGGCTTTGGAATTTGCTCACAGTATTATTTTTGCTCTGGGTTTATAGTGGATGCTTCAAAAACCCAGAAAGCTTGAGTGAACTAGTTAGCCTCCCATGGACCCCAGAGTCAAGGGGATGAAAATTCATCTTTTCAATAGAGGCCTCAGAGGATGAAAACTTATATTCCAGGCTTTGAAAACATTGAGAGCAGTGTATTATAAGCTGTCACAGTAATGCCTCCACAGATCTTGGGAGCCCTCAAGTGTGGAAATTGTGCATTTATATCTTTGTACTTAAAGGTATCCCAGGGCCTCTTAGATATAGGAGTGGTAGGTAAAGAGAATACAGTGTTGTAGGGTGTTGTTTGAGGTTTGGGAGGTCTAGGTTTAGGAAAAGAGAGAATGTATTATTCAAGGGCTGCTGACCTTGATTGTCCTTGCTGACAGATTTGGAGTTGTTCTTTCTCTCCTTCTGGTTTGGAGGAATTCCAGGCTCCTCAAGGCTTGAAGAAGACAGAGCTCCTACATCCTGGTACCCATCTGCAATTTGAAATTCCTGCCCTCGTGGGGGATGGTCAGCCTGGTAATCTCTGACACTGATTAAGTTGGTTGACTGGGCAGCTGATTTGGTTAAAGATTTCTGATCCATTAATTGTGACCTTGTTGGAGTTATAGTTGACATTGAAAGCTCCCTGAGGCTCTTGGAATCCAGCTCCTTACTTTGCTCAAGAGACACATTAGACATAGTCCTTTCTGAGCCAGAGGAGCCCTGCAATGGCTCCAGTAAAGTTGGGGAGAGCTTGTTCCCACCAACCAGCAATTGCTGAATCTCCAGAGCCACAGTATTGCAGATTTGGCAGCAGGGATCTGCACACAGGACTCGCCGCACACTTCCCTCCTGAGGAAGCCAGCCCTTGCTGGGAAGGGAAATATGAAAACCATTAATGATAGAGTGACATCTTTCTTAGAAGAAACTGGCTTAGGGTTGGTGCTGCCCTTTCCTAGTCCCACAAGTCCTGGGGCCTGTACTCCCTGAATGTCTTACCCCTCTGCTTTGATTTCCTAAGAAAATGCCATTTGGCAAGATATGGTAGGCTAGGCTGAGGGTCTGGGGCATGTTGGGAAAGGTTTCAGGCAACCCTTGGGAGGGCATTATCCTTAGAAAGGACTGGACCTAGGGTCATTTCTCTGTTAAACTGGAGAAGCTGAACTAGGAGAAAGAAACTAGACAGCTAGGAAGCCAAGTGATTAGCTGATGAGTTATCCCCAGCAGCACCACCAGGTAGAACATAGATCAGTCACATTTGAGGCTAGTGAACCCCAAGGCTGGTATTCAGTACATCCCAACTATAGACAATGTGGCCCTTGTGAAATCTCTGCATTCTGAGGACTATAGGATGTCCCTGCTACTGTACTCAACATCTCTTGTGAATCAATCCTATTCTCCAGAAATTTCAAGAGGATGATAGGCTTCTGTCTAAGGGCTGTCCTAGAAACTGGCCTCCCTAAAGACAAAACCAAAGTGTCAGCATATTCTAGCAAGATCAGTAGAATCTGTCAATGTAGCTATAAAGATAATATGACAAAGATGACTTCTTCATGCAAAATTCATTCTCTTGATTCAGTAACTTGTCTCATGGCTGAGTGCAACCCCATTTAATGTCTTTTATGAATTATGCATTAGTGGAATCCTGAATTCTAGAACTAATGTGACCCTACTCCAAAGCAAAATTGGATGATTCTTCTTTCCTGAGAGGTCTGAACTTCCTTTGCCCTGTCAATCCTCTCAACAAGTGAACCAACCGTTACTGTGTTGTTTTCCTCCAGTAATTATTCCACCCTCTCCATCTTTGTCCCAGGCCAAGCTGAGGAATCATCAAAGGCCAAGCTAGGAGTTGGGAGACTATTGAGAGCAAAAGATCACCTTTTCATGACAGAGATCAGATTCTGCAGCTTCTTGGCTTCCTCCTGGTAAGTTCTCCCAGCTGAAGAACCAGGACATGGTGTTACATGTAATAGGAGAGGATTCAGGGATATCCTATAAGAAGCTGAAGGCCTTTGAAAGAGAGAAGACTGAAAACCCCAATAGTCAGTGCTCTAAGTCACCTCTCAGTACAGCTTAATCATTTATAATGATATCTCATTTCATTTATCTTCACAGCCATACTGTGAGTGAGAAAGGATTATTAGTGTTATGTCCATTTTATGGAGAACAAGACTGAGAAATAAAATGACTTCCACAGGGTTATAAAACTAATAAATGATACAGTTAAGGACTTCTGCCTTACTTCCTCATTCTTCATTCTCAGGAGGGTAAGATAGAGACTTATGGAATGTTCCTAGGTTCTGATTGCCCCACCCAAGGAAGTCTTCTGTGATAAATTGTTGTTGCGGGTGTTGGACACCTTCTGTGGTTAGCACACCTGGCTCCTGGAACCAGGGGTTGTAGAGCAGCGGTTCTCAACCTGTGGGTCGTGACCCCTTTGTTCAATTTATAACAATGTGGACATTAGGAAGGTTGAGAACTACTGGTGTAGAGGGTCAGGATCCCTGGGAACCTCACCCACAGTAGAATCAAGTCAACAGAAATCTGGACTTTACCTCTTGATGTTCTCTCTCCAGACTTTTGTTTGAGTTTTTGATGGCACTTAAAGACAAAAACATAAGAGTGTAAATCTAGTACATCATTTTCTTTCCATGTCTGAAATGGAAACAAACCCATAAACATTTCCCAATCTTTTTCTGTATTCCAATTTTATATTCTACCCTTCCTTTCCTTATCCTTTTTTTTATCTTTCTCTTCTGACTCACTCTGAGGCTCTTCCATACTCTATGCCTCCCACCCCCGTTCCTTTGACACTTCTGTGGGGAGTTCAGGATGACACAGGAGGAAAGTTCGAACAGATTAAGGGATGGATGGTTCTAGGAAACAAAGGACTTTAGCCATTAAAGGCCCTAAATAGCTATAAACCAGAATAATCACCTAAATTGGGAGCTATTCTGGGATATAGTGAAGAACCCTCATTAAAAGGGGGGAGGGAAGCAGTAGGTGATGGTAACAAGAGAAAATGGATAGATAAAATTTTGTTTGAGGCTTATTGATTCAATCATGGTCATAGTGGTTCCCTACCCGGTGACAGGTCCTGTTAGGTCCCAACCTTAATTCTTGGAAGCTCTTTTTGAATCTCCAGATAATTAATGCAACAATGCAGATGGATCCATAGGTGTATAAGGGATGTGCAACATCCCATGGAACAAATGTAGGGTTCAACATGATCTAAAACTCACTAGCCATCCCCTTTCCTAGGCTTTCAGTGTCTTGGAACCTAATGCCTCCACATTCTAGATCTTGTCATTTCTGCCTCACAGAAGTTGGATCCTAACCACTAGACCACATCACAAAGCCATCCTGTTCCACAAGGCAGGGATAGCATCACAGAACTTTATTTGTCTTAGAGAAGTTTATGTGTTGATTCAGTGTTCAGATGAGTGTTTGGTTGTCTGTAGGGGATGCAGCCTGGGAGAAAAGGTCACAGACAGCATATACCTTTTCATGCTGTTACTATTCCCTATACCCCGATGACTCAAGCTCCCTCAGTCACTACACTAGTCTGGCACCTATGCCCAGATTACTGAGTTTTTATGCACACTAAAAAACACACAAGAGGCTAGGGCAGGCATCATATTGTTAATGTCACAGGCCATCATGTGTAGTCAGTATTAAGAAGTTCAAGGAGAGGATCACACATCATGTGTCAAGGAAAGGATACTTCTGTCCTTTTAAATAACTTTCTGAGAATTAAAGAAGGATCCATCCCAGTCTGTGTGGTCCAGCTTGAGATGGATGAGAAGGGATTGTAAATAATACCTTTCATGAAGGCACACAAATGAGGCTCATTTCTACAGTGCTGGCCAAGGCCTGGTTTTCCAGAATTGCCTCTACAGATTTTATAGCATCTGGCCTATTCATAGAGATGAGTTATTGACAAGGCTTTTTATTAAGGGCTCCAAACTTGTAGCTCTTCAGTTAAGTCCGCCATGGTTGGAATGATTTGCTGAAAGAGTGTTTTGTGAAAATCTGAATTTGAACACCTTTATCAGGGCAGGATTTTCCCCATTCAACCCTAGTATTTACCACTTATATAACCACTAATTCATGCATTAATATTAACATGACTCCTGGTGACATTAGACTATGTCTCCAACACCCCAGGATTTCTGAATTTCCTTCAGAAGTTCTTGCCCTGATAAAAGCGGTCTTAGGCACAAAAAGTCAGGAAAGGTTTTTTGGTCCTTCTTCTAGCATTCAGTCCTCCACTAAACAGGAATGGTGAGCATTTAATATGTTCTTAGCCCTAAGTAGTGCAGTATCAAAGGTACAAAGACATTTGGATTGTTTTGCCTGCTTGCTCTCAAAACACTTTAAAGGTCTAGTTGCAAAGACAAGACTAATTCACATGAAGCAAGAGCCAACCTTACCAGGGGCTGCAGAAGGGGGAAATAAGGAGTTATTGTTTAATGAGTACAGGGTTTTCTGCTTGAGATGATGAATAAAACCATCTCATGTTTAAGTGAATATACTTTATGACACTGAATTGTACACTTAACATGGTAAACTAAATATTACCACAATTTAAAATCAAACAACCCCCCCCCAAATCATTCATTAGCACAAGAATTTTTTGTAACTCCAAGGAAGAATATTCTGAAAATGATTTGACAAAGATATTAGTGAATACTTTTTAAAATGTCCTTCTTATATCTAAAAAAAAAATTGATCCTCACATTAAAGATAATTTAAGAAGATTCTCACCTGAAAATGGGATGAATTTGAGTCATTTCAACATCTTTCCTAAATTTTCAGGTTCCATGATACAAGAACAAGAAGACTTTTTCAACCAAAGAGCATTGAATGACAGGTTAACAAAAATTTATTAAAAAGCAGCTTGCATCATCTTTTTAATAGCAGGTCAACATACCTACAAAGTAGCTCATATCTTTTATTACTTTTTAATACTCCTACCCAACCAGCCAGCTTCCTGCATTTGCTGCTTCTCTTTATGTGACTACAACAGTTCTCATGGCCCATTAGCCTGACTTCTTGCCCCAGGTGACATCGCCAGTTTCTGTAAACCTGGCACCTGTTCCAACCAGTGCACTGTTTACCTTACAGATAACCCACAGCCACTGCCATCCCGTCAAGTCATTAAAACCAATGCTACAAGCTCCTGTCCAGCCACTCCAACCCTTGCTCCTCTGTCTTGGGACTGAGGAGTCAGAGCCAATTGTAGATTCCAAAATGGTCTTATGAGGCTGACAATTAAGTTTGTGAACTTATCCTAGAAAAAGTGCTACATACCTCATTGCTGAATAGCACTATGGTCACCTTCAAAGTACTCCCCTTGGGAAGCTAAGCACTCACTCTAGTCTACCCTTGGAAGAAATTTTGGAATTCCTTTTCTGGAGTGACCATCATAGCTGTCATTGTACGGCACACAAAAGCACACAGCAACAAGAATGAACGTGACTCAGTGAGACTCTACCACATGTCAATATGAACACAGCTATGAGACACTAATATACCAGGGTTATGAAACCTTAACCAAGTTGTTTGTACAGACTGTCAACATAAGCACACAGTTCTGATGGTCATTCCCAAAAAAGAGTTCCAGAATTGCTTTGAAAGGTGGTCTAGGCACTGGCACTAGTGCATAGCTTCCCAAGGGGAATACTTCAAAGATAACTGTAGTGATATTCAGCAGTGAGGTATGCAGCACTTTTTGTAGGATGAGTTTATGAACTGAACTGTCAGGTCTTCATATGCCTTTTTGCAAACTAGGTCTTACTATAGATTTATTTACTGATTTGGTGCTCTCTGATGGAGGGTGCTTGTGTGGATAGGACAGTGGAGTCAGTGTTTTCCTAAACAAGGGCACATTCAAATAATGAACACAGCTAATTAAATCTGTCATTTTTAATGACATGAGCATGGATCATCACATTTACCTTTCTTGCCTCATGGTTTAGAGAACAGCAAATAAGGGTATCAAGTACATGAAAAGCCTCTGTGGACTCTGGAGGTCTATATGCTTGCTTAGTAGAAGGTGCTTCTACTAAGCTTACTTAAGACTGACCCTGTTTTCATTACAATGCTGCAGTGACATAGTTGTAATAGAATTTCGTCAGGAAATTCTTCATGGGTGCCACTTTATAAGTACCACGAGTCATATAGCTTTGTAAAGAAAAATCCTGACAGACATGCCACTAATGTGAGTCTTGTCCCTCCACAGAATCCTCACAAAGGAGGTTCACTATGTCTTGGACTAGGAAAATACTAGCAAACACCTAAGATGTACCAAGGTGCGGGGGACAGAGATGCATAGTTGCTGCCATTCAGCAGCGAAGCTTTTATACATGAGCATCTTCATTAATGCCCAAGAGCTAAAATTTGCAAGAGGTTCTCAGGAAGGCAGAGTCCTGTCAGGGAGACCATCAAAACACCCATACAGCTACCACGCTATGTAGAATATAGTCAGAGTCACCAGAGGGCAGCACCTGCCCTCCCAATACTAGTCCAGCGCTGTCTCAGCACTGGCAGGTGCTTTCAAAAGTCAGCTGCTCAAGAGGTTCTCAATGCTGGCCTTACATCAGAATCACTGGGAGTCTTGGTAAAAATATGAATCTCCTGGCTTCACCCCATGCCTAATGAATCAGAATCTCTAGAGATATCATCCAGCAACCTATATATTACTATTAAATAAAAATCAAACATAATTCTTAAGCAATAGGGTATTAGGCTATAGGGGGTTATTTGAGAGCAACTTCCCTTCGAAGAGCAACAGTTCTCAATGTTGTTAAGAACTGCTAAGGTAAGACTCTGAGGAAACTACACCCCTCTCCTGGTGCAAAGTTTGATTCAATATCAGGGGGCATGGGTTTCACTTATGGACATGCTAGGGAACTCAAAGAGCCTGGTTAAGAAACTTAAGTATAATTTAGCCAAGCTGCTGACCAACACTCATAGATGGGATCCTCAGCAAGGCCAAAATCCTTCAATTTTTTTTTTTTTTTTTTGAGACAGAGTCTCACTATGTCACCCTCAGTAGAGTGCTATGGCGTCACATCTCACAGCAACCTCAGACTCTTGGGCGTAAGCGATTCTCTTGCCTCAGCCTCCCAAGTAGCTGGGACTATAGGTGCCCGCCAATGCCAGGCTATTTTGTTGTTGTTGTTGTTGTCATTGTTATTTAGCAGGCCCGGGCCATGTTCAAACCCACCAACCCCAGTGTATATGGCTGGTGCCCTAGCCACTGAGCTATGGGCACCGAGCCCCAATTTAAAAAGTTATAGCAAAACAGGCTGGTATAATAGCTCATGCTTATAACCCAGCACTTTGGGAGGCCAAAGCAGGAGGATCACTTGAACCCAGGAGTTTGAGACCTGAGAAACATAACCAGACCCCACCTCTGTAAGAAAAAAAATTACCTGGGTATAGTTCTTTGTGCCTATAGTCCAAGCTACTAGGAAGGCTGAGCCAGGATAATCACTTGAGCTGAGGAATTTGAGATTACAAGGAGCTTTGACGGTGCCACTGCACTCTAACCAGGGCAACAGAGCAAGACCCTGTCTCAGAAAAGAAAAGAAATGATTTGGCATCTATAGTTCAGTGAGTAAGTGCTAGCCACATACACTGAGGCTGACGGGTTTGAGCCCAGGCTGGGCCTGCTAAACAACAATAACAACTGCAACCAAAAAAAAAATAAAATAAAAAAGCTGGGTGTTGTGGCAGGTGCCTGTAATCCCAGCTGCTCAGGAGGCTGAGGCAAGAGAATCACTTAAGCCCAGGAGTCTGAGGTTGCTGTGAGCTGTGATGCCACTGCACTCTACTGAGGGCGACATAGTGAAATCTGTCTCAAAAAAAAAAAAAAGAAAGAAAGAAAGAAAAGAAAAGGAAAAAGAAGTTATAGTAAAATAAGGAAACAGAGAGAAGACACAAATTACAAATATCAAGAATAAGAGAAATGAGTTGCCATAAATTCCAAAGATACTACAAGAATAATAAGGTTGTAATATGAAAACTTTAATGTCTGTAAATTGACAACTTACATGAAATGAACTGCCATGATTTGAATATTCACTTTCAAAATTCATGTGTTGGAAATTTAATCCCTAGTGCAACAGTGTTGGGAGGTAGAGCATTTTGGGAAGCGTTAAGGTCATGAGAGCGAAACAGTCTAATGCTGCTATAAAAAGAGTCCTCTCTCTCTGCTTTTCTGCTGTGTGAGGTGTAGCATTTGTCCCCATTTTACCCTTCCACCCTCTGCCATGTG